TCATTGTCTTGCGGCCAACTCTACCACAAGGCCAACAAATTAAAGCAGTAGGTTACGCTGCAACACGGACGCCGCGGACGCCGGAGACGTAGTAGGATGACTGCCTGGAGTAAATGCATGCATTCGCTTAATACCTTCATCACCAGCTAATACACATACGCTCCACAAAGCGCAAACACAAATAACGGCGCCCAAATCGTCGTAAGATGATGGCCGGCACACGACAAGGCACATAACTATCAGACACACTCACCGTAGTCCATAAGCCCGTGCGGCGGACTGGCGGCGAGCGGCGAGCTGGATGCCGGCGGCGGCGACGGCTCGTACGCACCCTTAGTGTCCAGGTTCTTCTTCTGTTCCGGAGCCCGCAGTTTTTCTCTCCCTGCCATTTTCTTCTTCTCCTCCTCAGTTGTCCACACAGCCGCCGCTGGTGGCTGTGAAACCGTCTTCTTGCGGATAGCGTCGGCCGCCGACAGCTGGATACGACTTTGGTGGAGGCGCCAAGCCCAGGCCTCTTCGTTTTCTTGCCAGCTTCCCACATTCTTGAGGAGACTTTCGTGAAGTGGCTGGCCCTGGCGTAAATGTTATTTCGATTGGTCTTCTCGGACAGAAATGAAAATAAGGCTTCCGGATGGAGACTGGACAACGGTGGGGTGCGTGTAGATGCGCAGGTGCGGGCAACCGCAGAGCTTTAGCCTGCGCCGGCATTCAACAGCCTCAACCGATGCTGCGCCATACCACGTGACCGGGCCACGCCCACGAGTGGCGCGCGGTAGCCTGACTTTAACACACCCCGGCAGACAATGAAACGCATGTCCAAACAATGACAGAAACAACGGCGCTGGTACGTACCTATTGACTGCCTGCAGGGAAGTGCACCCGAACGTGTCGTGATATACTCACCAGCAACCGCCGGGCACTGGTGCCGCCCGTCGGTGGCACCGAGCGGGCAGCGCCAGCGGGCCTGGGTGCACTTGGGCGCTGGCGGAGGGTAATGGGCCACTGGCGGCTCGCGGGCGTTTAGCCCGCTCCTACCGCGCGTGCGGCAAGATGAAACACAAACAGACTGCTGGAAAGATAAGGCCGACAGCACAGCTGTGGACATGTGTGACGCATCGGCGGCAGAGACACGCACAAGCGAGCGAAGGCAAGCAAGAAGCGCACACAGCATGCAATCCGTCGCCTACCCGCGGGTGCACCATCCTGATGTGCCGTTTCAGGATGGCGTACGTGATGCCGTGGCACGGCGGTAGGCGACACGGGTGCCTGTGGCGCTTTCCAGCGCCGCTGCGTGACCGGCCCTGCCGCGGCTTATACGCTGCAACACAGAATGATCCGTTTGACACGGGAAAGCACACGGATCTGGCAGCTGCGGCAGAAGCACATTTACATCCAGTCTGCCGCCACACACAGAGAGGAGAGCTGGACACGTACCGGGCCGGTCACCCTCTTCCGAGGCCTCCTTCTCCTCTGGCGCCGGTTATGTCGATGCCGACGAGGGGGACGAGGACGGCGCCCAGTCGGGGTCGGCGTCCGCCGCCGGTGGCGTCTGGCTGTCGGCCAGAGCTCCCTCTGTTGGCAGAATTAAGCGCTGCGTAGTCACATACAAAAACGGGAAATAAACAATGTGGACATAGCATGCGTCACACTGCAGGCAAATGATCAGAACAGACGACAACCACAGTGTAATGAGTCGAACGCTTCGCATTGGTGACACCTTTGCTAACAGCCTATCGCATAAACAAAATACGAGATACATAATCAAAGAACATGCATGTACAATGACAATAACAACTGCATCTCAAGTTCTGCGATAGACGGCTAGGACAATTAAAACATGCATACACAACGACAATAACAACTACATGTCAAATTCTACAATAGACGGCTAGGAAAAACTTAAAGTAATGACGCCATTGAACACGCTTACCGTGCTCAATGGAAGAGTCGTCAAACACGGGGGCGACCAGGTGGACGGCGGCGGCCGTTCGTCAGCAGCCGGCTCTGTGAACAAATAGGCACGCTTATCAAGCAACTAAAAAAAGCATACCAGCCAACAATGGATGATCAGTAACCCCTTTAGATGAAAACATATCACATGTGCCATAAGTGTCGGCCATCGGATGTCTTCCTAGAATGAAAAGATGACTAGTCGCATACCGGAAAACGGAATAAACATCGAAAAAATACAGCACCTACTTTAAGGGCAATGACTATAACACATGAAAACAGCAGCGCATCAAACGACCCCTTCCTTTTGTGACAACTTTCCAATTGTCTAACGCGCCCACAGCGTACAATACGCATACCTCAATGAACATAGACACAATAGTAAGTCGATGTTCTTCTACCAGAGACGGTTAAAACATGGAAAGAAATAGTACCATCAGGCATGCTTACCGTACTCCATACGCGAGTAGTCGTCGGGGAGACACAGGCTGGGCAGCGGTGGCCGTTTTTCGGCAGTGGGCTCTGTGGGAACATGGACAGGCTTAACAAACAGGTCAATACAGAACAAAACACCCAAACCAAGAACAACCGATAACTACATAACAGGAAAACATGACATAATACGACATCAGTGAGGCAGGCATGCACTCCAACGATAAACACCAAAAACTAAGCACCGTAAACGAGCGAGGATGAATGACGGGCTCAAATGAATGCCTTTGCTGTTGACACGGGCCAACAACACAGGCCAACACAAACAGAAAAAGGTGCGCAAAAGCTGTCGTCGGAGAATAAGCGGAACGAAGCAAGAGACACCATTGTGATACACTTACCGCAGTCCATAGGCCCGGGAGGCGGGCTGAAGACGGAGACGAGCTGGGGGGAGGGAGGGGGGGGGGGGCGACTGCGGCTCATCAAGGGTTAACGCCGCCTTCTCCTTCTTCTGGTGCTTCTGCTTCTTCTCCCTTTGTTGCTTCTTTTTCCTCTTCTCCAAGCCCCTGTCGGCCGAGTCAGCACAGTGGCGTCGTCGCTCCGAGTCAGCACGCTGCAGTGACCGCTGGCAGGCTGCCAGCCACTCCACCATGGCCTGGGAATTGCATGTCATAAGCGAACGGTGACGGCGGTGCGACAGCCGGAACAATCAGCACACCAGCTGTGGAGAGCACTTACCGGCGTGTGCGGCAGCCACGCCTCGAGGCCCAGGTTGTCGCTGCCGATGGCCACATAGGCAATCAACTGAGGCAGGCAATCAACAACAGCTCTTCGCTACGTTCCAGGCGCCTTTTAAAAAGGCGCCAAGCCACGTCGCTGTCTTCTGAGCTTGTCATCGGTGGTCTCTTTTAGTAGTTCTGTGGTGTTTTCCTTTGGCCCTCTTCTCTTCCCTTCTTCTTCTCGTCTTCTCCGGTGAAGAGTGTGGGTGCGGCGTCATGTGTGCCCGCCCAGTGCACTTGGTGCCGGGACCGTACCGTGCGCCGCGCACCCGGTTCATCAGAGGCCGTTATGTCAAGCCTAGCTGCGTTTGTTACATGCTTACCGCCTGAAACCGCGACAATTATCATAAAATGCCTTCATTACACCTGCCAGTGTCCGTATAGACGCATGTTTGATCTATACGATAGCCGTATGTTTCGCAATCATAACTAAGTTAAATCTGGGGGCAATTGGTTACCATGGTGGTAATTGCAAGCGAAAAACGACAAAAAAGGTCATGCCAGGGTTTGGATCATCTCAACCGATGACGTTGCGCCACACCACGTGACAGTACCACGTCACTGAGCCACGCCCACAGTCGCGCACTGTACGGTTGAGTGCAACGCGTAGAGAGGAGCTGGTACGGTCAAACTAGTCTGAATATCAACGGGCGATTTTACGCGCGCTCATGGGCTAAAGGGCGCGAATACAGACTATGTCGGCTGTGCAGGGCACGTTGCGTCAAGTCGACATAAATTAAAACGCGTCTTAAAGCAATCAGACATATTACGATAGGCGCCTTAAAACCCGGTCCTTGT